GTAAATACACACATCAAAAGTGTCTAGGGATCAAGTACGTTTAAGAGTATTGCTGCAATTAGGGTTAATTATATTAACTTTTTTGTATCGCTATTGATACTTTTTAGTGAGTTTTAACATTTAAATAAGGAATATTGTTTAAAATTCGATAATAAGAAGAAAATCGATTGTCAACGTGGTTTTGTATAAAAATGAGTTATAGCGTTTTGACAAAATCATTACAATATATGCATCGGAACCGAAACAATTTACATTATTATGGAGAGACGACATCATTTAACCCGAGAAGTGATGATGCGAGTCGTCGGAATGTTGGAAGCTGGTTCCAGGCAACGTGCTGTGGCTTTCACTCTTAACACTACACAGAGTGTCATAAGTCGCCTGGACGCGCTATCGCATGACGAGCAGCGTGGCCGAGCGACATGGAGGACGATCTCGCATCACGACTCGCAGACAGGACCGGTATATCCAAAATACTGCTCGACGGAATCGTACCATGACCGCCATGATGTTGGTTACGAGGCTCCACAGCTCCTCAGGCTTGCTAATAAGCGATCAAACAATCCGAAATCGTTTACGTGAAGTGGGTCTGCGATCCCGAAGGCAGCTCAGAGTTCCACCTATTGCACCCTGCAATCGCAGGACCCGTTTACGATGGGTTTACGAAGCGCGAACACAGAAACTGGGAGGAAGAAGACTGGCGCTATGTGTGCTTTTCGGATTAATCCCGCTTCGGTATGAGACCGGATACAAGACGTACTCGAGTTTGGAGAACATCTGGACGTCATGAACGTTTGAGATATTGTCAGGAAGTTCATCCATATGGTGGGGGAACAATAATGATATGGGCCGGTATTTGGATCGGCGGAAGAACCGATCTCATTTGGATCAGGGGTAACCTCAATGCTCAAGTTTACGCAGAGAGGATTGTTTCAGATGTTATCATCCCTTTGCGAGGCCAGTTGGGTGATTCATTTCAACTAATGCATGACAACGCACGTCCACACACGGCTAGAGTCGTAACACGCATTCTTGCCGAAGCTCGTATCAACGTTCTGCCGTGGCCTGCTCAATCGCCAGACCTCAATCCAATTGAGCACGCATGGGATATGCTTCAAAGAAGAGCTGTGCCGAGTATGCATACCGTACATACTCTACAACAATATTTTGACTTGTTACAAAACACATGGGCGGCCATTCCTCAAAGTGATTTTGATGAACTCATCTTAAGCATGCCAAATCGCTGTAATTGTGTAAACGTAAAATGTTAAACAATGAACGCGCTATAAAAGTGTGACCATTTTTTTAAATCTAGTAATCGTAACTTTATTAATTAACGCGCAATACCTTCGCAATACAAAATTTATTCTCTTTGATTTGGAAATCAAAATATTTTTTGTTTATTAAAGTTGTTATAACATACAGTTGCCAACTGGAGTACGATAGGATCTCTTTTTCCACCATAATAAAAAAAGCACTTTCAATCTTCAAAATGTGTAAAACATCACTAAGGCACAGTATTAAGGTGTAGCCTGGCTGCACAGTTTTTCATAGCCTTTTTTGCATTGCCTTCCGGAGTGGCATAGGAAAGGAAGGGAGCACCAAATTCATGGCATTTCCGCCGGCGTCATTAATAAATTAGCCGTGATGTTGTGACTGCGGCTAAATTGCAACTTTTACTTACTTTAAAGTACAATCCGTTTGTTTTTGATACAATCCGACTATTTTTTTGTATTCAGGAAATCGGATGTGTTAAGACAAATTAAACCATATCTCCGTAAATATAAATATTTTTCTTAAAAAACCTTCAAGTGCCTCGTATATAATTTTCATTTTAAAAAAACGCGAAACTCGTACCTTTTCAATTAAAACGACAGTTTATTTCGTGAAGAAACATGAAAACTCATATTTCATTCATTTCCATAATAGCGTCCCTTTTCGTTGAAACGTCTCTATGGCATTCATTTACATAAAAATAAAACCTCTTGTGAAAAAAACTAGGAGATAAAATACGAGCTAAAATGTCAAGTCTGCTAAAAAATTCCATCATTACTAAAGCTCCGACAAAATTTGTAGGGCAGCGGAGATTTTAATGAAATTGCAGCATTGTTTCGCCTGCGAGCGACTGACGCGTCTTATACCGACGGCTCTCCAACACAAGTTCTAACTAGCGAGTAAATATTGTGTATTCTATATACTGCTTGTTTATCAAGAAACTGGTAAAATACTTGTTGGAAACAAAAAGCGTTTATGTTAACCAGTGATTTATACTACGTTTTTCTGAATTGATATTTTTGCGCGTAAATAATTTGAACACCACTGATTATTTGTATACGATCCCTATATCAATAACGGTTTGACCTCTTTTTATTAGCATACACAATTAGGTGGCAGCGGCATATTTACTTGAGAAATCCTATTAACAGGATCGTGTGGTACCCAATTTATTCGAGTAGCCTTGTCCCCGAAACTTGTGTAAATAGGCCCTTTTTCTGTACAGTAGGTAAAACGGTAAAACCATCATCACACGTACTGAAGGGATGTTATCAGTCAAATTTACCAGAATTTAAGTATAAACATTTCGGGTTTTAGCGATGTTGAGAATAACGTTTATTCGTTAAATGTAAACAATAACATAACTAACAATAAATAGAGCTGTACTTGGTTTCATCTCTATTACCACCAATATTGGAAAACTCCTATTAAAAAAGGACAGTGCGAAAAGTAATCTGTCCAAATACTACGCGATGGCCTAATAATATATCTGTGGCGGCTTTCAACTGTGATTGATACCGGTCGTCCGTTTAATCGGGGCACGGCGGGGGGCGGTGGGGACCACAGGGGACAAGCATCAGGGTAATGAATAACGCCGGTACTTCACTGATAGCCGAGCAACAGATTTACAATTAGATCCATTTCCGCTCGCCGATGATTTGCGGGATTCACGCAGCAATCAACTCACATATACCAATCAACGTCGAATCTCGGCATCGTTCTGCATTAATATCACTTGTGTTAGTATGAAATGCTCAAGGGTAACTGTAGCCTTGTTCAAAATAAACCAGATTAACAAATATAGGATTATATTCAGTGAAACATTCAAATCCAACATAACAAACATTGGAATAATTCCCAATGGTTTGTACAAGCCGTGTACATTATCCTCGCGAGGGGTCGACCTCTGTTCGACACGTGAATCAGCTAACAGTCTATAATCCCATTTGCATATTTTCGGCATGTATAGTAAAAGCCACTATAATTCTAAGATTCTCTCAAAGTACCTTAAAACCTGGTTAATGAAACAGCGCAATAAAAACACAATGTTAAATTAATAATGAATGAATAGACTCAAAAATGTTTAAAAGAAAAATAGACGCGAGATGACGTGACGCCCTCTCTTGTGTGGTGAAATGAAAACTAAGAGGGTAAAATTATCAAAGTAGGTTGTATCATCCAAATCACTAAAATGTCTTAAAACGTCTAAGGCATTTTTACGAAAACTTATTGTATTTTTCTTAATTTATTACATCATATATATACATAATTTCGACATAATCATTTATTAATAACGTAACATTTCTCTGGAAGGTCAAGTAAAAAATTAAATAGTAACATATACATGTTCGGGATGTTAATGGCTTTAAGCCCGAATTAACAACACAGTGCTAGTGTTATTGCTCTAAAGTGCAGTTACTCCTGTGTACAGTGAGGTCGAGATACGCGCGGAGTATTAACCCCAAGTGTACACTCTTTATTTGGTGATTCGACAACCATTCCAACATACTGTACCTATATAAATACTCGCCGCAATTTTTTTTTCAACCCCTAACCTAATATAACATTCAGGCGCTAGAAAGATCACAAACCTACGCATTACTGTTTCGACGGGTGTGCAATAAATATATACACGCTTTACTATATGGTATTATCACATTGCGATAAAGGAATAAATTCGATTGTTACAAATTATCAATTTTAAACAATTCATTTCATTATACATATCAATTGATTGAACTGATTACTGTCTCCCAAAAGTAAGATGTCAGAAGCTTTACAAATTCAATAGCAATAAATATGCAACAAATTATATGACACATATGAAAACGTAAAAAAAAGAATGAAAAGAAATCCAAAATAAGAAATTGTTAATACTTACAGAAAATTCAATTTAAATAAAAATGTCGTGTTTTCACTAGTTTTAAAGATATGTGAAGGTCAGATTTCACCTTCTTAGGACGCTACTGATCCAGTTTCTTTAAAACGTTTTATCCTAATGTAACAGAGTTCCCTACATTTAGGAGATTTCATTTAAAATTGCTATTTGAACAAAATACGAGAGCTAACAATAAGCCTGACAGGCCATAAATGTTTTACAGGCACATTATTCTATTGTAAAATACTCTTACAAACTTTCCTATTGTAAAATTCGCATATTACATAATAAATATACAGGATATAATAGTACTCTTCAGAGTTAAAAAGTTGCCGAATCACCAAAGTTAGGTGCAGCCCGTCGATAACAAGGGAGCGCGCATAATTAAACGCGGCTTGGCACTGCCCGGCATTTACCACCTTCAACCGACCAGTTCAATGCTAAAATATAAATAAGACAGCAATTTTTGTATCAGATTTTTCTAAAAAACGGGAGGCCACAACACGATTTTCAACACTGGGTATGCTAAAAGGCGACAAAACAAATTGACATAGTTCAAACGTAACTGACATTCAAAGGCTAACTAGATGCATGAAAGAAATTGCTATACACGAATGGGATAATACTCTAATACATTGTCATATTGATTACATCACAAATTATTGACGACCGCTTATTTCGCCCATGTGCTTTGAGCCTGTGACCACGGTTTAGTGCTGATAGTAATCGCATGGTTAAATCTGCTAGCTGGTCTAAAACTTAAATAGTAACACGGTGTAGGGAGTCAAATTGGTGTTTGCGATGAACAATATTACGTGTAAATAAGGCTGCTGCGGACCCGCACGATAGTAACTATGAGTCTATTCCTGTATTTTATTAAATAATTTATTCTATAACAATTCTCGCAAATAAATTACTGCAGAGTTATCAAAACTATCACGAGTTATTGCTGGAGCTTGAGTTACTATCGCGGAGAGCGAGGTTTGGAATTCGCCCTTGAGCACACCCAGGGGTGTGTTTTCGCCAAGCGAACCAGGGCGCGCGCATTATGACTCAGTTATAAATCTTGATAGCCTTCTCTAAGTAGTTAACGCGGGACCGCTTGGGCGTCTTGTTGATGTGCTCCAGCCCGAGCCACGGCCGGCCCGTCGCGTCTGGAAGGGACAGATCTTTATTAAATTTTAGCACGCATTCTTCGCGGGATTGGCTCCATTCCTAACCGAATGTAAAGGCCGCTTTGCAATTTTCAAATGGGTTTCAAATATAGCACATAAATACTTACTAGCGTTACTACTCGGTCTGAAGTCAAAAATGTTTATTGTCGCTCCTTCGCTTATGTAGTTAGGTCTGCCATTTGTCACTATAGCAAAATTGTACTGAAACAAAACGAAGACGTTATTAAATACAATGCGTATTTAGTAAAAAAAAAAGAAACTTATCGTGCCAAGAAAAAACAATACTATCATATCAACTATCATAACCCTTTGGTTTGTATCACACGTTGCGCAAATTGTTTGTTTAGATTCTTTATGATATTATGCGACTCACGGGACGAACACGTTATGCTGTGGTGATGACTATTCACGATAATTGCATTGCCACTCTGAGCTTTAAAATTCCGACAGGCACTGCCACTACTCCCGCCACCCTGAGACATGTGTTGAAAAGTTCCATGTGCCTGTAATTTCACCAGCACGCTCTCTTCAAAACTGGAACGCAGCAATGCTCACATTACTGCTTGACGGCAGAAATAGGTAAGGTGACTTCCCTGGACAAACACTTCACAAGAAGCTCTACTGTTACTAAATAAAACTAACAAAAGAATATGGTATACCTTTTCCCACTCCTTGTCGGGTATGTCGAGTTTCTTCTGCAGGCGGTCCCGGACGGCCTGGAAGGGCTCGTTGTGCTTGACGCGCGCGTAGAACGGGATGCCGAACGTTGCGTACACTTGCTTGTGGAAGTGCGCGCACGGCACTAACACCTCGTCGTCCTACACACAAATCAAATACTTCATTACACTGATAATATGATACATGTAGGTGAGACACAAAAATGCATGAAATGTGCCTCACTGACAATCCTGTCATTATGGAGGCATAAAACAGAATCAGAATAATTGAAATAGTACGAAGTTAATTCTTCAACCACTATGTACAACACTGTATATGCCGAATTCATGTCAAAGATCTCTACGACTGCGGCAAAATTTCGAGGCAAAATTTCGGCACATGTGGTCTTAGGCGAGACATCACTATCGTTAAATGTTTACTGTCTCGCCTCACAAACCAAATACAATGCTATTTAACACGCACTTAAAAATGTGGAACTAGCTATAAGTACCTAAGCAAAATATGTCGCAGGCTGTAAGCTAGACGGTATTAAGTTTTCGTCGTATTATTACTGTTTCTATGTAGATTATAGTTAAACTAAGCGTTCAAAGCACTTTTTGCAAGAGAAAGTCTTACAAATAGTAAAGATAAAGTAAGACGTACCTGTAAGTGTAGCTCATCCCTTGGTATCTCCTCTATTCTATAAAGCCGCGGCGGCGAGATGATCACCTGGTCCAACGTCAGTTCCGGGTCAGGCCCGGGTAATACTTTGTGACACGACACTTCCACGATTCGTAATCTGAAACGTTCACGTGGAATTATTGCAGTGGTATAGCAATAACGACTACATAACACCATAGCACTTTTAAATAATCAACGTTTGATCATATATACAGTTACAAATTAACAAAACATAAAATAACATCCAGGTATAAACCAACATAAAAAAAATAACGGGAGTTTTCATCAAAGGAAATACTGGATCCCAAACTAGTGATACGGATAAACCATCTTCCCTGTTGAAATATTTTTTTTTAATTTCAATGGCCTCTCGCAGCATCCTGGTTATATAACGGACTTCATTTGCAAGAACTTAATCTTTATTTAAACCAACAGTCGTTAAAACCTAAAAGATGCTCCCCTGAAAAATCTACGAAACGTCAGTTACGCCCTTAATACAAAACACCGTATGTATTTTACATCTTTTTAATCGCAAACTCAAGGGGAAATAAAACAATCTAAGTAACCGAAAACAAGGAAACAAAATTGGAATGCCTAATCGACAGAACAAGTACAAGTACAAGAAAATCCAAGCATAATATGATTTTATATGATGTCGTCCTAGTTCTACATTTGATTTAAATGCACCAACCTTCCGGATCCATCGGGCGACATTTCGACGACTTTAGCTGCCTCTTCCAAGATGTCCGCCACTTTACCTCCTTTATTTGGATATAAAATTAATTCTTTGTCTTCTTTATAGTTCGGACCGACCTATGCAAAAAAAGCAAATTTTAAATACACACTGACACAGTACTTTCCACCATACGCTATTTTGTATTTTTTTCTTTCCATCACATCATAGTTAACGTTAGCAACAGTCTAAACTTCATTTCCTACTCATATTGTTTCTCTTTCTATCGTAAAATATGCCAAAGATCAAATGATCTACACTACACCTGGTAGCAAATAAACCAAACCTGTTGTTTTTTTCGTGCTACGGCTTTTACCAAGAAATAATCAGAATTAAACTAATACTAGCATCAAGTATATGTACAGGCAACGTCGAAATACAAACTTACCCATAGACATTTAAACTGTTTCTTGTTGTCCAATTCGTTAACTTTAATAGATAAAATCTGGTAGAATAATTTCTTAGGGCACTTTGGTTTACAGTACACTAGTAAGTCCTTAAGTATTCCGTCGTACGAGTATCTCAAGGGCAGTCCCGGCGTGTCTTTGTAACTGTAACAAAATAAGTAATAATAAATGCATGTGCTAATCAATTCCATAAGACTTTCATTACCCGGGCTTTTTTTATAAATATGAAGTGACTGGACGAACAAGACGTGCGCCTGGTGGTAAGCGACACGCCTAACCGTAACACTCGCATTCCTACTTTAAAGTTTTGCTTATACTTTGTAGTTTAGACGGACTTAAATGTTTTCACTGTGTAAAGACGAGCGACATTTGTCAAGTACAGTAATTGTCTCTTAAGAGCTTTGAATCACAAATATGGGAGGGGCACTGCCATTGCGCGTCATTCATTCAAGTCATTGTGCGTCTCAACGCAAAGTTGGTGAGTCCCATGTGCATGTAGTTTCACCAGCATCCATTTACCCTTCAAAACCGGAACGCACTAACGCTCACATTGGTTTTGCATGGCGGCAGAAATAGGTATGATGGCAGTACTTCCGTGGACGAACTCTCGCACAGAGTTCTCCTGCTTGTCAAATATATACGATCTACTCTAATATTTAACTTCGAGGATACCTACTTTGAGTTTAGAGACTGTTGTCGCTAAAATATTTGTACAAAATCTACTTCTTGTGACCACTAGGAGTGCTGTACAATAGTCTGTCTTTTTTGAAGACGGAGTAAAATGACAAATGCAGTGTTGCCAGTTTTTGTAAAATTTTAAATAGTCATGTCATTGTTGTCGACAGTATTATTATTAAGTTATGAAAGAAGGTAAAATTTTGCCAAAAATATCTGAATTGTGATTGCTACGAGATTCTAATGAATAGTAATTGCATTATTACCTTCATTCTTATTTTGACTGTTGACCTACTAGTATCGAAATATTTTATTATTCAAAAAAGAATGTCTCTCTGAATGTCTCCTCTTAGTATTTTTAATACCCATCTTTCTAAACGCAGTTTATGTATTTATGGACTTACAAAGATTGACAAATTTAAATTACGCCCACTATGCACTATGCCCAGCAGTTGGCGGAATAATGGGCCGATAATGATTCTAATGAAACAAATTTGGCTGTTTATTACATAAGCGTAACCAACATTCAGTCGATTGAACATTTATCGAGTGCAATCACTAGTTGGTTGTAAGCGGACAAGACTTTTGCACAATCAACTGTCATTTTATTGAAAAAAGACTATAAATTCTGCAGTATTTTACGCGGTTGCTAGAGCTCTATAACGTAATGGTAGACATACGTACAGAACACTCAGCCTCAAAGGTATATCTCCTTGTAATTTACAAGCGCAGACCAAATGTATGTCTGCATTCGTGAAGGGGAACGAACATCAAGTCAACAAGTACTCCAATAGAACTTACTTTTGACACTTAAAGAACTGTATTAAGTAAGGATCCACATTGAGCCGCTGGCCAACCGCCCGCGCCATTTGATCGTAGCGCATCTGCATCGACAGTTCCATTGTGAACCTGCACACAAGTACCACATTAAGCTTATGCATTAAGCTATGAAACTAAAAAAAAAACATTCAAAGCAAAAACTGTTCAGTATACATTATAACTTGGTCCATCCTTTTACTACTAACATAGTTAACATTACTATAGCAATAATAATGATTTATTTTCCCCACATTGTAGTACAAGAACAAATCAGTGAAAGAAAACAAAAAAATGTTACCTAACTAGCTTACCCTATGCTGCAAGTTTCCAAGCCTCTACCTACAGATACAATATTCCTAATAGACTGCGACAAAAAAATATTCTTAAAAACAAAATTAATTTAAATGAAATAAAAAAAATATAGGACATAAAAATTAAATAAAACTTGAAACTTACCCAGGGTCATTGGGCACAGTTTTATCGACAAACTGCACCTCGACCTTGTAGAAGATATACTTGAAGTAGTCCTGGCAGGTGGGCAGCTCGAGGTCGTCGTGGCGGTTGTCGGCGCGCTCGAACACGATGATATCGCCGTCCATCAGCTCGTCCAATACCTGGCCGCGTGCACACGACTCAACCCGAGCGGGAGACGCCGTAGGGGCCTCGCACTAAGAGGCTACTACACGTCACCGCTTTCTTTTTTATTTCTAATGTTGTCGTTGTGCTGACTACCGATCGGTAGGGATTTATAGTGAGGCTTCACACGTATTCGTTTACTGCACAGTGATATCGTTTTCCGATCATGCTTATTTTGTAATGCAAGCGTATTGACAATGTTTAATCCTGCATCCGAACAATGTACCACATTAAAATGATCGATATGCGCACAGAGCAGATGTACGAGTGCAGAGCCAAAGAAAATACTTAAGAGATACGGCAAGTCTCGTCAACAGTTTTTGAGTTAAATTTACAGTAAATTTCATTGTTTACGTGTTATGGTAGTGTACTGAAGCTCAAACAAATTCATGCCTTTCTTAAAGGAATATTGTAGAAACGATAACTAAGTTTACTACTGCATGATAATAAGAAACAAATAATGCATCAAACTAAACATACAATTCAAACTTAGTAAGTATAGTAATAGTTACTATTTTACCTTTCTTCGTTTGCGCATCGGACTTGCTAGCTAAAATGTTACCAATCCAAATGTAGTAAATACAATCAATGCAACTACATGGCTTAGACTAATGAAGGATCTGATAGAATAAAACCGATAAATAATACCTTTTCGAGAGGGTCGTTGTAGTTGTTGATCTTCTCGACGAAGTCTGGCTTGATTTCTTCGTACAAAACCAGTGGCGTGTCTGGACTGAAACCTGGTGAATGAAGCGAGCACATAATGATACTGATGTTGACAGCCTGACGATGGGAGGCACAGCGCTTAAAACTATAGGCATTAGACGACGAAGTCTCAGGTTCGATTCCTTGTAGAACCAATTTGAAAAAACTTTTCTACATTAATTCTGATCGTGGCGTTATGGGTAGTGCCCGGGAGCTAATTTCATTGCTCTGGTACGCATGGTACAAGGGATTACTTAGTTGCGAGACCAATTGTGATTATCTAACACATATTGGTTTTCGCGATTGTTACACATAGGAAATGAAACTACTAATCCGGATTTAAATTAAAATTTAAATCGTAAAATAAATCAAACCGGATTTAAGTCAACCGTGATCATGGGATCTGTAAAGGGCCCGAATAGTTGGTTTGTTTGAAAAAACAAATATACGCGAGTTTATTCTGGAAAAATAGTTTCATTACATATTATCATAATTATTATTTATTAATTATCTTCAAGAAATTCAACAAATTGTAATAGAAAAGCATTTTTAGTTCAACATCAGCTTATTATTTTCTAAAAGCGGAATGAATAAGAAATCTGTTCATCAGCAAAAAAAAGTTTTTCACTTATTTTGACTAGTTCGGAGATGTCAATATGTAGATAATGAGCCTATCGCGTTTATTAAGCAGTAAGTTTAACCAAATACTTGTATTAATTAGTTTATTTAGAAGCCGATATGTAAACTAGACCACTTTTATAAAATGATTGTTTTATTTTAAAATAACATTTTTCCTAACACTGGGGTGGTCATAGGAATAAAATATTGCGACAGTTAAGTTTCTAACATTTACAGGCAAAAGCCTATAACAGTATTTTATTATAATCAAGTGTTACCGGTCTTTATATCTAGATTGAAATGTAAGTATATATAATAACAAATAAACATACCTGCGCGTTTATTGAGTATGGGTACGAGATCAACTGGTTTGCTTGAAATTGGCAGATAGTGATGTCCACAATAATGTATACGCTTCTGTTTCGGGTCATAATACTTGAAGAATAACACCACATCATTTTCCTTATCGAACGTGGGTAGTGTACTAAGGCCAGAGTCTGGTGGCAACATCTCAAGGAAGATGTTCCACGGGTTCATGTTTTCGGATATGTCTGCTACCGTTTTGTGTTGATCGTTCACGATGTCAAGACACGTTGGTCTGCATGTCTGTTGGGAGATGATTATTATTAATTTCCCGTAAAACAAAATACCCCTTACGACAAATTGACCAATTTCAAAATTCGAAACATCAACTAAATTATTACCGTCGTCTTTAGGATGTCGTTCGTTTCCACGTCGATGTAAATATCGACGTGGGAAACTTGAAATGTCGTAGGAGATAATTTGTCATAAGGGACATTTTATCGTAAGGGAAAGTGTCCCATACGACATTTCAAACTTCCGGCGTCGATTATAGTTTATAAGGAATATTTTACTAACACAATACATCCGAAATAAAAATCTAAATTTATGTAATATTTAAAGAACCAAAACTACTACTCTGTCCATTAACCCATTCATGGACAGTAACGTCGTTTACCGTAAAATGAAATATCGCATAATGAAATATATTACATTTAACTTTTTATATTGAATCAATATAAAGCACAAAGAAAAATAGTGACATTTTTGTACTGTCCATGAACAAAAGCCTTACCATCATTGACTTACAAATAAATGGACGACGGGTCTAATACAAAAACCACGAAAAAAATGTCGCAAGTCGCATTGTAATGTCATCGCAGTACTGTCTAATTTTGCTTGCTTCGCTGTCAGTCGAACAAACGAAGACTAAAGCGTGAATGACGCTCTGTATACGATTTTCACGCCCTACAAGTTCGGACACTTTTTAGCGCGGATCCGACGTCCATATAATTGTAAGTCAATGCTTACCATGAACTGTAATTACGATTCAATTTAGGATCTATAATAAATCGTTGCGAGACAGCGCTACACGAAGAGTATATCACCATCCCGCTTTTTTGTTGTTATGAACCTATGCTGAACTGCAATAAGAGTTCATGATAAGGCCCAGGTTATTTTTTTTTTAATACCAAGTGACGGGACGAACATGTCGTGAGCCTGGTAGTAAACCACACGCCTGCCCATAACAGTTGCAGTGTTACTCAGAACTTTAAATTATAAAGATCTGGGTGCACCGCCACAGCGCCCACCCTCCTGAGACAAGTTGACAAGTCTCATGTGCCTGTAATTTCACCAGCATTACTGCTTGGCGGCAGAAATAGGTAGAAATAGGCAATAATTCCCTTTACGAGCTCTTTCACAAAGAGCTCTACTGCTACTAAATTTTAACGAGTAATTTAAGTAAGTTTGTTTTTAACGAGTAACTAGTACAGACATACAAAGATGAGGTGCTCGGAAACAAAGAGGCGACATCCTTTGAAACAAAATACAAACTAATTCTAAATTTCAAGGCATCAACTAGACATGGCATAAGGTACCTGATTGGAACGCGCACTAAAAGGCCAAGGGCGTAACTGTTTGAGCGGATACTTGAAGTTCTCGGCCAACGTCTCCATGAGCTCAGCCACAGTAGCCTGTTTGCGAACGCGGAACACCCTATAGTGAGCCCGCTCAGGGTCGTAGAGGTCATTGCCCTGGTGGCCATCGAAAGCCTCTTCCAGCACTACATTGACGTTCATGTAGAGATGAGCTTCGTTGCGCTCTTTGCGTCGTATCTGTAATTAGAATTATAATTCAGACCTGAAGATGTTTTAAGCTGGAAACATAACTAGCAGATACAAAAAGGCTTTGACTTAGGAAATGAAACTATTTTTCCGGATTAAAATCGCGTATATTTGTTTTTTCAAACAAGGCTTTGACTTCTTCACTTCGGGGTAGGTACAGACCTATGTGCAAGCAAGCGCGCACGCGGACCTTATTCAGTCAGATCCGGACCCCAGATCAGCCCATTCACAGAATTCATCAGGAGTTCAAACGGCTAGTGCCTCAGGTGAGCGACCCCGGGGGCACGTACAGCACCCTCCCTAGCCTGAAAGGTGCCGGAGCTATTGGCACGCTCACCTCCCACTGTGCATGGCACAACTAGCAATTGTCACCACGAAGCTTTTGAATCTAAAATCAACTACCAAATAGGCGGGTTGGTTCAGTCTAACACGTGACAGTATTGCAGAGGTTGAGAACGCTAGAAGTTCTGAACATAAGAAGCCTGCATACAGTTATACATACGCTGACCACAGTAAATTAATACGCACCGTTTCAATCCTCTTTTCTTCTGCTAGTCGTTCGCTGAGCTCCGTGGGTATATCTGCTTGTGTGACTTCTTGCAACACAGTTTTTAACTGTGAATCCCTAGAACAATCAGAACTTTTAATGCAACTCAGTTGGATATCTTACAATCAGCGAATTGAACTTTAACATAGTATTATACTATAGCTACACTATTGAAATTTGAACTTCATCGACGAATGGAAAGTGGATAAAAAATACCAATGCCGGGACGAATAAATTGTGCGCCTGGTTATAAGCGACACGCCTATCCATAACAGTTTCAGTGCCACTCAGAGCTTCAAATCACAAAGATCTGAGGGGCACTGTCACTGAGCCGGTACCCCTGAGACATAAGTTGACAAGTCCCGTATGTCATCATATGACTTGTAATTTCACCAGCAACCTTTGCCCCTCAAAACCAGAACTCAGTAATGCTCACATTCCGGCTTGGCTACAGAAATAGGTAAGGTGGCACTTACCTGGACGAACTCTTTCACAAGGAGCTCTACTGCTACCTTCAAATTTCATGTATATACGTTACTTAGTCGAATGAGCTAATAAATCAAAAATCAATTACCTAATGTAGACCAACATGTAGGCGTTGGTACAGTGGCGCACAGTAAGCGCCATGTCCTCGTCGTGCCCGCCGTAGTTGTACTCGATGGCCTCTTGTTTCGTGCATCTCGACACTACGTCGTCGTCGAACTTGCACCACTGCAATCACAAAATTTGTTTCATATTATCGTAACTACCTCTGTGGCCGAACGGTACAGGTCTGCCTCGCAGAAGTCCCAGGATCGACTCGTGGGTCGGGAGAAATATTTGTATGGCCTACCTTTATTTCTCAGTTTGGACGTAATATCGTCTGTGTTTGTGTGTCCATGGCATCCGCGAAACAGGATATCCATAGTGCGCGGCTATGAGTGTGTCTGGTTATTATTATTATATTCATACACCTAAACGGAACGGGTGACTCAATCGCGCCTATAGAATGGCGCTTAACAGCAAAGTCGTATTGTGAGAGTGACGTAATCGCGCTCCTTATCTGCGATAGATATTTATTGCTTACGTTTGAACGCGGTGGTTTTCTACAACGGTAGTGTACTCTAGGAAAAATGCCAAATAGTGCTAGGAGCAGCATGCGTTAATTACTTGCATGAAATGTACAAAATTTCTAAATAGTCCCCTGTCGGAAATCGGTAAATAATGATAAATTTGTGGCCAACATAGGAAATTAATTTTTTTATTAGCCAGGTAAAGTCCTTCAGTTCCTCAATGTTATCGACCGTGGCTCTGTAATTCGTGGTGATTACAATAGATCAGTTGATAGTCGCAGTGATGAGGGATTGCATATGCCCCGAATGAAGCCACCACATAATAATAATAAATAGGCAATTACGGATAGCTGTTCTAGAGGAAACTGGCAGGCATAGGCAGACTATATTCATAGTCTTACTGCAACATGTCATGCATATTGTTTGATTGACAAATAAGTTTACATCCGATTTTAATTTCAATTATTTTGTTACTTATATTCTGGAGACCGCGCAATAAATATGTCTGTATAAACTAGACAATTACGGATAGGTGTTCTAAAGGAAACTTAGGCCCCGAGAAACATTATCTGGTGAAGCATAAGCAGACTATATTTATAGTCTAACGGCAACATGTCATGCATAGTTTGATTAGCAATTAAATTTACGTCTGATTTCAATTTCAATTATTTTGTTACTTTATTCTGGAGACCGAACAATAAATATGTCTCTATAAACCAAAATATTTGAACTCTTTCACACTACGTCTAATTACGCAATATGAAACTAGTACAAATGATGAAAATATATTTCTGCATCCCCGATTTCCAGAACTCTCTAATCAAGAGTGAGACAAAATAAATTTATTTGACTCTAGTCATTATGCGATTCGATTATCTGTTTCGGATCTATTGAATGTACTTTTCCATCGCCCTTGGGGTTGATGAAGACTACGTAGTGCCCGCCGTGGTTGTCGCCCGAGTGCACCAGCACCGCGTGTAGCGTGTAATCTGCAGGCGTCTCCGGCTTCTCCTGCAGATATGCATCAAGGTTGATGTGCTCGTAGAACTCGAACCTGAAGGCAAATAATAACTGTGTAGTCGTCATCCCACCACGATGGTCTACATCCTTTGTGTTAAGCTCCACACGTGAATCTGCTAAACGAGGGTGTCGATCATATCGGAATATTCCAGGCACGCTATACCTACAAACTATTTCCGCGAATTGCGATAATTTGTTACCCAACAAAGAAAAATTTTAGAGCGCCCGCCCATTGAGTCACTAGTATTGGCCACTAAACGCGACCACAGATTACGATTTCGTATTCATTTTGTATGGCATCGGCGTAAAACGCGCGTTCGAGTGGCCGCATCCGAGCCACAAGCTGCGGGAGTGGCCCGCGCTCGCCTTCCGCGCACACTTGGCCACAGCCGCCAGCTTAAAAAATTTGGTTAAAAATAAATATTTAGCGACTTGTGGCGTCTTTTCACCCTTATTTTTTTGAAATATAAAATTATAAGTGACCTCTCAAATTAAATCAAAGTAAATCTAAAGGTAAAAATAAAGTCATACTTATTTTCATGTTTAAAGCTGGTAACACCATCGTCGAATTGGATGATTCAGCATAGCTATATGCTAGTGGCCGCGACCGTATCCAGCCACTAACCGTTGCGACTGTTAGCCGCGTCTAGTGGCTTAACTCAGCCACTGGTAGCGTTTAGTGGCCCAGTAGGCGTAAGTAAGCATTTAGAGCGCACGATAAAAAATGTATACTTCTAGACCCCCCAAATCAAAAATGAGAGACAAAAGAAAATATTACATTATGTGGAATAAAAATGTTTCAGGTGCCGTTCATGCGCCCCCTGAAATCTCATATTGTCTGGACTAAGAAGACCCGTGCGTATTCCACAGACAATACGCGATAGTTAAGATACGCATACTGGTTCAACTCCCTGATGTTTATAGAAACCAAAACCCATACCTGTCATTAAACTTGACGGAGCTATCCGTGATGGGATCGTACTGAAAGCGCATAAGATGCAAATGCAGAACGGGAGGGAAGGAGGCGAAGATGACGCCTTTCTCGGCTTCCTGCAGGCCGTGTTCGCCTGCGTCGTACTTGTTTTCACCGTCGAGCGTCTCCGTGCTGATGTAGTCTTTGAACGACTCGTCGACTGGACAAAAATATTGGATATTTAAAGTGTATGTTCATTAATAGAAAAATCTTTTCAGAATATTGCCATTAATAGGCAAATTAACAGAACCAAATCAAGATAACTTGATGGTAGAGTCAGAAGCTTAATATGTGAGGTTATAATTTTTGTCAAAGCACAGTTGCAAGTGAAAGAGTCAATGGTCCTTAATGAAAAGAAAGAAAAAATGGTCAGCGGATAATTAAGCCTTAGAAGTCACTCACTGTTCTTCTTCCCTTTAATATTGAGTTGAATATCGTAGAAGGTCTCGACACGCGTGCTGGACACGTTCACGTTCTTGCACTTGATGTACGAAGTCATTTTGCCTTCGAACAGCCGCGGGACAGTACCCTCCACGCAAGTGCCTTTCATCTTGCTCTCCAGTTTATCCAGAAGTACCTGTGCGATTTACATTTATTTATCGTACTGCATAGCTTTCATCTCGAGCACTAATAGTTAACAACCATCCATATCGTCCTTAACATATTAGTTACACAAGAGTGTAGAATACGGAACAAATGTGCCAGTACTAAAGTCTGACTTCAGCAAACAATATTGACTAAGTCACCACACGTATCGATGAGGAATCGCATTACCGCGGGACCGCCGACACACAACATCTTTTCCGCTCTTCTTATACGGACATAAAGTTTTTCTGACCGGCTTTAAGCGATCCCGTGCCAATACGTGTGGTGACTTCCTAGGGCTCAATTTATATTGCGGCGGAACGGAATGAAAGCGATTTTTTGTAACGATATTAATTCTACATAGCGTAAGGAACTTAGTTGTGTAACGAACAAACTAGATACGAGCCAAAAATCACTTCGCGCGCCTTCCGCGGAATTATCGCGCATGCTTGAGAATCCTCGCTCATTCGCGAGAATTCCGCAGCTCCCATTGACGACGCCTGTCGTATCCTCGGGCAGTGGCGCAAAGGCAGGCGTAGTGTGACGTCAAACGTAGACGAAATGGTAGAATTTCGTTGACGCCGACGCTTCTTGAGGTTGTAGAGCGTCAAGTCTCAGTCACTCGAGCGTTCACTGGAATACGAATCCAGCGACCTTCTCACATAACGAGGCAAAATTGAGGCTTCCGTTCCGCCGCAATGTAAATTGAGCCTAAGAGAAATTTGATGTAAAAAAAAGAAAAAGTATTGGTAAACAATGGACCTAATGTGCCTGTCCTAAGATTCCTAACATATATATATATATATTGTATATATATAGCTTGAAAGTCAGGGGATAATTTATGATAATTCACATGTACTCATTTGTATATTTTTCTCATCCTCACATCTATGGATACAATTAATTCCTTTTTGACATATTTGGAGACAACACTAACAAGCATTCATTTTATTGTAAATTTGTATTAATTTTTATTAAATTATTTATTCAATCTGTTTCGTAATTGTAATAAGACTAAAAATCATCAAAATACAATAAAAGAAAATTAAAACTTATACATACTCTCAGGAATTCCTGTACATCATGTTGCATGAAAGAGTCAAGGGTCTCCCAGCCAAAACTCTTAGTCAGCTTCTTGGTACCGACCGGTTTGTCAGAGAATTGCAGTTCGTAAAATACTCTCTGCAACGCTAGTGCCACGGACCTACAAATTTTATTAAATTGAGAATTATACTGAAATTATCTCCGCTACTCGGTTTTTTTTTGTTTCAACTTTCTTTCAAATAATTTTTACGGTTCCGTGAATTTACCCCTTTTGAGCCATTAGTTTCTACAGATTAAGAAACATTGGCGGCAGTGCCAAAAATTGGAAATTATCGAAAGTGTTACTTGGGAGTGCGTATGGCTCTTTCAGGTTCTAGAGCCTTAGTTCCCAAAATGGTCCTGGTAGACCTCCAGGAGTCCACGGGAGACTCGACGGGGGTCTACGTTGGCGTGACAAAAAATAATTTGGATATGGAATATGATAGAAATGTAGCTGCAGGGGGTCCACCGGAACCAGCTAAATTCTGAAAGAGGTCTATGAGAAAAAAGTCTGGGAACCTCTGTTCTAGAGGATCACAGAAATAGCAGCTAATCATGACTCATGAATATCATCATGAACATGAAGTTTTTCAATATTGCATAATATTTTAAGGGTGATTGTATATATCACTAGAACTTTTAACAAGTGGACCTCTCTGAAATCGCAAAAAAAAATCAGCAATAGGTATAATTAGGTGATTACATAATTATACCTATTTCTTTACATTATCCATTATAATGTTATTTAGTTGGTGCCAAATATGTGAAAATTGTAGCTACTTGATTTGTTAAAAATATTAGTTTTATTTAGAACGTTATTATTCCCCAGCACTTACTTTCCGAATTATGTCACAATATTGAGCGTGCGAAATACATATTTATGAAAAATTACGGACTATTTCACGATTTCTGAAAGGTTCCCGTAGTAATAGTTACTCGTAACAATGGGTAGATTCACCACTTAATACATTAACATAATAATAAATATCACCTGTATAAAAATGATAATCTTGTTAATTTAAAAAAAGTCCAAGATATTTTAGTTTGTGAGACACGCTTACCTGGTGCTATCATCAGATTCTGTAGGCATCTTGTAGACAGCCTTCCTTAGTTGGTTGGTGAAGTACAGGGTTTGAAGCAGTGAGTTCATATAACAAGTAGCGCCTTGGTTTTTCAGACCTAAAATATTGTTATTAATGTGGTTAATGTGACATTACATCTCTACCATCTTTACTTAGTATTCTAATTGACAAATTAGAATACTAAAATGATGATGAAATTATTGACTTGTCCCTTTCCAGACTGATTGTATATAGACAAATAATCCTACGACCACAACAATGTGTGCTATGTTTGATGTAGTCATAAGACTGAATCACCCTTTATCTAAAGGCGCCGTAATAGGTGTGCTATGCAAAACCAAATTAAGCTCGAAACACTTTACATGCTGTCTCCGCCAATAGCGAGGGCGGCACGCAGTGCAGACGCAGCGAATGGAGCCACTAGATCGACCGCGGCGACAGGCAGCGCGCGCACATAGCATTTCTTAATTTCTATGTTTTGAAACATTTTACGGACATTAAATAAATGTTAACAAGTCTTATTCTAATTTTAAGGACATTAAATAAATGTTAACAAGTCTTAAGTCTTATTCTTGTATCCTTAATCGCATGCAAGAAAGTGGCGACCGGGTCAGGACGGTACATTAACGAAAGTACGTAAAGGAAACCTAGGCCAACGTCAGCGCTGTATCGAAGTCTTAAGTTTTATTCTTGTATCCTTAATCGCATACATATGCTTAATTGAAAAACTTTAAAAAATCTACTTCACATATATTTCAATCATCATAATCGACCCCTGGATCTCCGCTTCTTGTGAACATGCTTTGATTTCTTTTATGATATTAAATGACGGGGCGAACAAGCCGTGGACCTGGTGATAAACGACACACCTGTCATAGCAGTTGCAGTGCCACTCAGAGCATTAAATCGCAAACATGTGAGGGTCACTGCCACTGCGCCCGTAATCTTCAGACATAAATATCATCGCGTAAAATCTACTTTCTAACGCATTATTAAGGTACAAGTTCACTATGAAATCATGTAAAGTTGATACTGCTATCATCTCCTGTTACCTTAGTTTGGATTATCATTGGATCAACAGAACTTTTTACTTACAGTTCTTGTAGTTTCAGAATATGTTAAGTGGTAATGATGATGAAAGAATTGCAGTCATTCATGCCCTCAAATGTGTAATAAAATAATGTAGTAAAGTTGACTGACCAACATATCCTGTATGCTTCTTAGAGTCCCAAGAGACGCCGTGGGGGGCTTCGGCAGTGACGTGGACTTCGAGAGTGATAGCGTCGTCCTTGATGTAACCTTTCTCGGGGTCGAGAACGTCGGTCCATGACATAAAGTGCGAGAAACCCCAATCGTTTTCCTTGCTATTCAATTGAATAATGAAGTATGTCAATAATAGTCCACAAAACCGATAGTGTGACAAAAAACTATGTGCATGTTTCAAATACAACAGAAAATAGAACAAAAAGAAGTGAAATGTGATGTCTTAGTAGAGTCACACGCGCAATCCACTTCAATTTGTGTTTTAATAGATTTAATTAAAAACTGCAGACATCTGCAAACAATAATACTATGATTATTTTCTTTTTATTTGAAAAAAATATACAACCAACCTGTAAAACAAATGCTGGATCTTCCTATAAAACGGTTCAGTATCCGGCTTATGGGAGATCAGCCTAAGTTCGGCCATGGCGTAGCATGACCAGCTAGAGGATTCACTCTCGCCGTTACACTGCAGGAAGAAGCCCAGGGACTTTTGCTGCTGACGGTCGGCAGAGGGCGCTTGTCTAGGCATCACCATGATCTTCCAAGGCAAGTTGCGGACATAACAAGGTGGAGAAAGCACAGAGTCCTTCAGGTTTCTGAAGTTATGGACTGTGAAGCGGAAGGTCGCCTCGGAACGCGCTTCGTCATCCTCCATTTCGGCGTCCAGACAGGCAAGCTGTGGGAAAAATGTTTAAATTAGCAACATTAAATAAAGATCTTTATATTAATAATTATAACAAACTAGTGGAGTAATTTCACAAAAAATAATTGAATATCAATTCAATAAAAATTTAATTAACATAAAATAAACTTTTTTTTTTTCAATTCTAGCATAACAAGTTGCATAACAAGTCCATTTTCAAGTAGTAAGTTTGTTGTGAGTTAAGGGTTTACACGCTCCTGACCTAGCAGTAGATCACTACTCCCAGTGACTATGTGCTGTCTGAGGCAGCAGTAAGTGCGCATTTTGAATACCGAAGCAAAAAACCCATGCTTGCAGTCTCAATCCAAGCATACGAGCTACTGAAGTTTTTCGCGAAACTGGGAGCTGTAATTTGTAATGGACGCGAATGGCCAGTGAAAACAAAAATAAACGTAATACCTTAGGTGTGTGCTATAGTCAGACTCGCATATGATAGTTACTCACATAACGTCATGGTGAGAGTAGCTGTACTGCATAACTAAACCAAGTTAATTTGCATCACATAACCAATGCTAAACTTTTCAATAATTTAATACTACAGTCAAAATCAATACCTTAAGTAGTATATGTTCATAAAGTAATAGGAAATGCTTACAGGCATGTCGGAGGAGGTGGTCTCCTGGTTCTTCATTACGTCGCTCATCACGACTTCGCCGTTGGGCCCTTTCATAAGATCGTCGTCCCAAGTCTTATCTGTAGCTGTTTCTACAGTCTCCACTGTAAAAATATGTGATTGTTTTTATAAAAGCTCAGTTTACCACAGTAAATATGAAGAAGATTAGGAATTTTCAGGCAAGAAAACAAAGTGAAACCATTTTATGCTAGTGACAATTTCATTGAAAAAGCAATATACTTTATATTTTAGTAACAATCTTCCAAATGCGTCAAGCTTTCCAACTTTATCACCTTTATTACTAATGTATTACTGATCTATAAGTATAATCCTAGGAAGTTTTGAGGTAAAAAGTTTACTACACTTACTAATAATTACAATTACTCTAATTCAGTATAAGTATCCCAGTTTGCAAACAAAATATTTTCCAACAGAAAAATTTATAATGTTAAAATTAACCTTGAATGGCTATTAACAAATTGCAAATTGTCTTTATATCACTTTACAAACTAGAAAATTACAATAACAGGAAAAACAATCTGTCCATTGTTTTTCTGACACTGAATTGTGACAATTCTGACAGTAAATGTGGCACCTGAGAAAAAATTACTGAAAGTAACCAGTCATGCATGACTATGACATTTTATGATCTATGGTTGCCAAAACACCGAAGAAGAATGTATAGAAGATGAAAATTAACCACACTATGTGGACAATATTCATGAAAACTATACAAATTATATATACCGCAAAAAAAAAATATTATAATTTGCTCAAGTTATACTCAGTAATATGTACTTTATACGCTATTATACCCTTTTACAATCTGACAAAACCATAAACTCTAGTCTATTGTTAAGATAGAATTGGACTCTCGCCAAGTTGTGGAATTTTAAACAACCTATTTTGTGAACTGACAACAAGAACACAATACCAATACCAGTGACACAATTTTAATATTCAAAAAGTAACTTGTGAACCTTTGCATCCTACATTGGTCATTGGGGCTAAATACACTTCATACTAAGGCATACTTAGGTATTCTTATATATAAAATATTGCAGTATCACCACTGGATATCACATGAAACCTACCACAGTTCCCCAAATAGAACAGAAGTATTTAATCCAATTACACTCCACAAACACCTACCTGGCTATAAAAAAGTTTCAAAGTATGTAAGCATGTTATATATGTACTACAGTATTTATTTAGGTCAAAGTATGTTTGAAACATCTTATTCAATGAATATCAAAAGAGTGTAGTGTAGGATTGGTGGCTTATAAAAAAAGCAAAGAGGATGGCAGAAGAGTGTATGCATTGTGAAACCTAGTGCTTTGGTAAAATATTGAATATGAATATATCTGGCCCTGTTCTAAATTCCTTCACTAGATATTCCTAGCCTAAGCTATATTATATTCCTTTCTAAAGTTAAAATTACAATTTCTTGAGACCTAACTATTACATCAGATTATTAGTTCTTGTAACATTGTGCATGCTAATAAGAAATAAAAATATATTTATTTCTAAATGAGAAAACTACTGCCAACAAATCAATAAGCAACACTAATTTTGTGATGTTCATAAAATTAAAAATGAATTAATGATAGCAATTTTATAAGTATTTCAAGGATAAATTTTACCCATTGACTTACAAATAAATGGACGACGGGTCTAATATAAAAACCACAAAAAAAATGTCCCAAGTCAACCTATTCGAAATTTAAATTGTAATGTCATCGCAGTATCGCGCTGTCAGTCGAACAAATGAAGACTAAAGCGGAGTTTGGCGCTCTGTATACGATTTTAGCGCCTTACAAGTGCGGACACTTTTTAGCGTGGACCCGACGTCCATATAATTGTAAATCAATGATTTTACCATTCTATTTACCATGAAAAGTAATCAATATTATTAACAAAAATTATATTTATTATTTGTTTAATACCTAGAAACATTAGATCTCTTCTGATTGTTACACCATATCATTTAATGTCTTTAGTGTACACACATGAGTAAAGGTACCCAAAGGCAAACAGTATAGTTGAATGATTAATAACTAACTAAGCAACTACACGAAAACTTAACTTTTTTTGTTGGCTATGGCAGACAAGAAAATTGATTTATTCTTCTTTTCTTTTTAAAAGGTATCATATATATATATATATATATATATGTCATGATTGGGCTATAAGTTACATTTAAAAATTACCAATTACAAATTTAAATATTACCAACATTAGTTGGGCTACAAAAAGCTGAGTAATACCAAACATATACCAATATATAAAATATACCAATCAATAGCATCAACACTATCAGACTATACTATCTATATCACCAAAATATAGTAAATAGTATACTATTATTACACCTATATAAACCATGAAATTAGGTTCTAAATTGTTTGCAACATGGTATGACCACTTTCTATCAAAAAGTGAAAAACGTAATACAAAATCCAACAAAACAATACATCTATAATTAGACTCACAACGACTTGCACTTTTAGAACAAAGAAACTGTTAACTTATTAATAATTTAATTAAATTTGTAGTTTCAAAACTATCAATCAAAGGCATTCAAGTCAAGTTATGCTGACAGAGGCTCATTGGAAATTCAGTAGTGTTACCAAATTGTAGAGTTATTATACTGAAAATTTAGATTGAGGTTAACTGCATAAACAACACCCATGTTATGGATTGGTTGTACATTTTATACCCACTATGATGGCAAAGTTCATTGGACTTCTATTGAAGTGTCGTTTGAACACCACAATGAAAATTACGAAGCTTCCTACTACTCATGGAAATACGACAATGGTTGGATTAGGTAGCAATGTAAATATTGACGTGAATGACGTTACTGACCTTCCTGAGTCTCCATTTCCTCCACCTGGTTCACATTGGAGTCGTGCTGCTGCCTGTCCGGAGCAGGCGTGTGGTTCATGTTAGCCGGGCGCGCCACGGGGGACTCTCGCCCAAAACTCTTCGATATTTCCTGAACCAATCACTCTTATTTTCAACTAGAACTGCGCACGCTGCACTCACATAACCCTCCGCGACCGAATTATGCACAATACCTACCTTTAACGCCAAGGGATCGGTCCCTTTGGACCTATTGAAAATCCGTTGAACAAACTTCAACGAACCTTTCTCATCGACTCTGACACCCTGCGTACCCGGACTTTTGTTTCTTTTGGAGGGCAAGATGTTAATTTTTGAAGAGTGTTTACTTGCGGCGCGGCCGATGACTGCAAATTTCAACACAAGGATCCAATGGAAGATAGGTACGCTAATAGCACATTCCTAATCTTTTGATCATTGCAAGATTTACTTTATCACGTTATCGTACAGCGGCGTATAAAAAACCACTAACGTAACCGGGTAGGTACTTATATTCGCGAAAATAAACAAAATGGTGGAGGATAATTTAATTTCTGGCTTCGGATGTGTGGCCCGGTTTGATCGACGAATGCACCATTTTATCATTCTCTCACATTCACCATAATGTTGTACCAAAGTCGATATTTTACCACAAAGTTTTAATTGGAAATCGATTTAAACGTCCGAGTGGATAATGAAACCTTCATAAAGGTCCTCTCACACTGCTGTAGTATACCAACCAACCGACCGGTACAAAAGTTATAAACGATTTTGAGTTATCTATTATTAGAAAAGGTACACATTGGGCAGATACGCTCTCACGAATGATAGTTATAGTTTCGTAAAAACATATTTTTTTAATCTTGAAAACTGACACGCGTCTGGCATCAAAACTCCATAGCGTGCCTATGAGATAATTCGGCTTTTTTGCAAGACTTGCGTATTACTAATTTGTAAATGGAAACATTATTTTTAATTCGTATAATTACTATATTTAGAATAACTTATCGATATTTCTCGTCACATAATTAAAACGATATTTTCCCCCAGAGGGCAACATCCCTATTAAAAGTGGAACTTTGTTTATGCGTTTAGGGTAACCATTTTTTGCATTTTTCTACTATTTTGGAAATAGTTAAAACTACATACACGCTTTGAACTTTTTAACTGCTTTATCATTGCAAACTATTATACATATTTTAACATAAAACGTAAAAGTGTTACACGATTTCTATACTCGCATTTAATATTCATTGATTAAAATTCAAACCGGTGTTATAATCACAAAAAATAGTCACTTTTACAAGTAACTTGTGGTAACATAAAAAGTTTTTTAAAAGGTCTTTTATCAAATAAAGGTAGCAGTTATAACAAAAATTTATACAAATTCAAGAGTCGTATTTCAGAACTGTACTCAATGCTCAAGCAGGACTTGATTGTGGTTTAAAACACTCGAAATCATACTCAGGTCAGAAATTTAGGCCTGCAATTAGGACCGTATTTCCAGTACTTGAAATCATACTCAAGTCTTTGCCATTAGGGTCGTATATCCAGTGCTTGAAATCTAAGGCTCAACCCACACTGGCGCAGAGTCGAAGCGTCGCGTCGCGTCTTGTTTTTCAACTCCACCGCCAGGCGATGCGAGTGGACGCGCGACGACGCGCGACGATGCTCGCATTAGTGCGCCGGGATCACAGTTTGGTCGGCGTCTGACGCCTCACGGCGCCCAAGTAACGCGCGAAGCCGCTCGAATGCTACCAAGCGTCGACACACGTCGTCGCGCATCGACGCGCGTCGCTGCTCGATTACATATTTACAAAATACAAATTTGTACCGTAATAATTGGAAATATAGATGAATATGCTATAGGTGAAAAACATGACGCGTCACGACACTTTGACTCTGCGCCATTGTGAGTTGAGCCATACTCAAGTTCTGACTTCAGCATTGAGTAGAGTTCTGGAGTACGACCTTTAGTGGGAACGGTTAAAAATGTCTCAATGTTTCCATTTGTTTTAGATCAATCACAAGATATAAATGTGCTCATATTGAAGCACGTTATAACTTATAATCAACAGCACAGTTAGCTTATATTTTACACTTTGAGTTGTTTGTATTACAAGTTACAGACTTCAATTTAATTTTTTGACTTTTTTCCCTATAAAAACACCTATTAATTTGAACAACAACAACAAACAAAAACATAAACATTTAGTCTATGATTATCAATCAAAGTTTCAATAATTCTGCTTTGGGTACGATATATTGAAAATGAAATCTCTGTTTATTTGCTATTGAAAGTAATGCATGTTGCAAAACATGTTTCCAACAAATCATAAAACCATATTCGTGCTGGATCATACTCCATATTTTGGCATTTCTTCGGATAATCCGATTGACTTTGATGTATCTAAGAGCCGGGGACCAGGGTGCGTGCCTTTACCACCAATATGCAAGTCTTTGTGGACTTGCAGCGTGGAAGCTGCGGTGGAATACTGCCGCGTAGTTTGGGACTTGTTTCCCGAGGGAAAGTTGGTACGTTGTTTTTCATATAGGTTAGGTATAGATAAACCTGTTCTTATATCAAGTGTATTGAAGTTTTGTCAAGACTTTTATTTTTCGTAAACTAATTTCACTTAGAAGATAATCCGTATATGTATGTAATACAGAAATTCCGTTAAAACATTGTTACATACTGTAGGTGCATAAAATAGGTATTTAAGAATTTTTCATTTTTTTCAGGTTCGCTTTGTTATTAGTGACTCAGCTGCACATATTCTAAATACATGGGCTGTGACTCAACAAAATCTAACACATGTAAGATGTTTTACAATTGCGGAGTATTTCGACAAAACATTTAGACTTATTTTTTAATTCCAAAGTTTTTGTTATTTCTACTACTAATTTATCCAACTTGCAGCACCTGCTTTAAAAATACGTTTGAAATGCACAAATCTGACAATGCAACAAATCCATTCAATGAGAATAGACAAAATTGTAATCGGGAATTTATCAAGTTTAAGTTTTTGTTCCAAATGTCCTTAATTAATAGTTAAAAAATATTCTTCATTCGAAACTTCTTTTCAATGTCACAAATTTTCACCTTTTCCACCGAAACTAGGAAAAAAACCTACAGTGCACTATAAATATTCATTAAATTATTGAAATTTTTTATTGATATACCTCATCTCAAATGCAAATGCACATGCACAGCAAATGCAGTGTAATGAAATAACTTTTGCACATTGTCGTAAAAAACTTAATGAATTTTTGAAAAAAAATTATTTCTGCTCATTTCTTACAAATAAACATTGATTTGGTGTTATTTTTACTTTAATTTAATGTATATACTTAAACAAAGGCTATCATTTAAAAGCGAGGCTTATAAAAATAGTTTATGGAATATGTAAATTAGCTTACTATATTATGAGGTTATATTGTGTAGATTTTTATGAATTGTGTTGTAGGGATCATCCCAGACTATTTTTAATATAATACATAAAGAGTACCTATATGATAGACCCTTTGTCTACCCAAATAAATGCTTACTGCAGCACACATAAGCTGTTCATTAATACCCATGTTTTATGTGTATTAATAATAATTTAATTGTACATGACAAGCATGTGTTTATTACCACTTTTAATTTTAGCTTCAGTGTGTTGCTATTTTAATTCATTTGTTTTATTATGTTGTTGCACAAGTAAAGCATGACAATAAACATTCTATATTTATCTGTTTGGCTCACTTATGAGTAGTTAATCTAAAGCATTTTTTTTAAGAACTCCGCTTCAAGACATTCGTTGGTGGCTGTCAACAGGCCCAAAGTTAACAATGCTGAAAGGGTAATTGTTATTGACTATGTCCCAAAATTTACAGATTTTAAATGGTTTATGTCTTGTGGGTCAAGTCCGTAGAGGGGCAGGGGGTGATGTGGTGGGATTATGTGCTGCCATTGAGGCCTTGGCAGAGCCCTCACCCATGCAAGCTTCCAGGCCTCAATCTGAGAGACACTTTCAGAACAGGTAGTATGTCCTTGTTTATGTATTACTTAAATACATATTTCACATGTTAAAAACAATACAGTTACTAAAGAAAATGTCAACTTTCGGGAAATGAACTTATTAAATATTTCTGAAAGTATGATAAAATAATAATTTTACATGCAAATACCGTCTTTGTCTATAAAACTATTCTGATGCTTTAAACGAGAAACCTGACAGCTTTAAACTCTTAAGTTTTATTGCATTCATCATCATGTACTTACTGGGTTTCATTGTGTCCCTAATATTGTTTTTAGGGGCCGTATTATATGCATAACTAGTGCAAGGGATGACGACTCAATAAGAAGTCTAGCAGAGATAGCGCTTAATGCCCTTGTTCAGCAAAATAAGAAAGCAGCTGTTGTTCAACCTAGTACTAGTACAGAGACAACCAATACTACTACACAGTAAGTATACTATTGGTTACTCAGTATAAGGAGTTCTTTACATTTAGGCTATTAAAGGCCTGATGGCTTTAGTCCACTGGAATCGGGCTGTAATAGGTAGTGAAAAACTCATTGGGGGACTCGTGGCAAATCTTACAGTTTGTAGTAAGTACGGAATTAAGTTATCACGCCTCCTATTGGCCTATAGCTTGTTTAAATACTGAAGTAAACAAAACACTCTGATTGATTGGTGATAAGTTTAATATAAACTGTTTATACATATACTTCACACTAAGTTTATACTTCACACTATTTGCTATTGTAGGTGCAGTAAATGATATTGTTTACTTTTATTGTTTATCTTTACTTATTTCAGGTCACTAGTTGTAAATTACTGCCATCTAGTGATAATAAATGTTACTCCAGAAAAGGCAGAAACAAGAGTCAGTAATCAACCTCTAACAGAGGTAAGTAATGAAGGAATGCTAATAAGAAATAAATAAATTAAACATTACACAACATCACATTAGTTGCTCTGATCCCAAAGTAATTAGCTAAAGCAATTGTGGGAAATGAAACAATTTTTCCGGATTTAAATCGCGTATATTTGTTTTTTCAAACAAACCAACGTTTCGGGCCCTTTACAGGTCTCATGGTCACGGTTGACTGTAAAGAACCCGAAACGTTGGTTTGTTTGAAAAAACTAAAATTTTGAAAAATAGTTTCATTTCCTATATGTAACAATCGCGAAAACCTAAGAACTCGATAAAGCACTTGTGTTAAGGAAATCGGAAACAACGACGATACCACAAACACCCAGACCCGAGACAATATAGAAATGTTAGTTTCTACACTGACCCAGGCGGGGATCGAACCCGGGACCTCAGAGATGGCGACTCCATAAAAACCGGTGTGCAAGCCACTTGACCACGGCGGCCGTCTAGAATATTTGCTTTCAATCAATCTCATCTTTGGAGATGTTCTTGGTCATCAATCTAACGTATTTTTATGCTGACCATACCAACACTTTAAGAGTGTCTGTCGGGTTGCACCTTTGCTCCTCCAAATTTTGAAATTAACCATAATTTCTTACGTTTATTGTTTTCCCCACTTTCATTCATGAGTATATATTGGTAATTATCATTTGATATGTAAACTTTTTTTTAGTTAAGTATGTTACATTTCCTTTAATATTTTAGATAAAGAAATGAAGCGTTAATAAAATTTACATTATTATTTACTGTGATCTTTCTTATTTCTTTCTCCTGTTTTTAGGTATACGGTATTTCGCCGAATATTATACAATATGTACCTTTTACCAGTACCATTAAACTGCCTTGGTGTAACAAAATAATATTTTTTAATTATTGTCAATATTTGTTATTAGATGGGAGGAGGTCTGATGGGTGTGGAAGTGATAGTTTCTCGCGCTAGTAATTTAGCTAATCTCCTGGGACGTCTAGTGCTCCCGCACTATCGACTTGCCACTACCACTGTTACTGGTATTCCTATGAAGGTAAGGTATATTTCGATACCTCCAATGTAAACCACGCCCACTTCATTTTTGGACCAGTTCTATTTTTATTTTGTTTCTTTATTCATTTTTTCACAAAATTCGGAGAACATAATGTTAGTAAGTAAATATGGCTGTTTACAAAAATAACAGAAAGTGAGCAAAAAGTAAAGTTGGCGCAGTGTTCATTGGAGGTATCGATTTTTGAATATATTTTTTCAGCATTATACATTGCATAAATCGTTTTGACGCATTATGCCAGAAACGCAAAATGCCAAACGGACAAAATGTCAGATTCGCAAAATGCCAGATTGGCAGAATACCAGATTGGCAAAATGCCAAATGTCACTGCCAGGAACAGGCCTTCCTCCTGACGCAGAGCAAAGGTCTCTGTGTAGGCAGGTTTAAGTTAGTAATACCTAATTGAAGCTATAAAGTTAGCAAGTTTCTTTATGATACAAAGATCAGTTATTTAGTAGTTAGAGGAAACTACATTTTGTTTTTAACAAATTAAAAAAACATCAGAACCTTGCTTCATTATACTCATTATTTCAGCCGAATGACGTCCTCTTTACTTGACGACCACTGGACATTAGTTCGTGCGTCAGGAGGATGAATGCCCGTTCTTGTCAGTGACATTTGACATTTTTTGAATCTGGCATTCTGCAAATTTGGCATTTTGCGAAACTGGCATTCTGCGGATCTGGCATTCTGCGGATCTGGCATTCTGCCCGTTTGGTATTTTGCGTTTCTGGCATAATGCGTCAAAACGGCATAAATATTTGTTTTAATGCTACCAAGCAATCAATAAGTACAAAATATATATTTGCCGAAGCAGAAAATACAATGTTTGTGTCTAAGTCCTTTGAACTATTTCTTCTTTGCATGTTACGACTTTGTTTTTGCTCTCATTCCAGGAAGAACAAAACGCGAGTTCCAGTGCCAACTACGACGTAGAAATTATACATTCATTAGAAGCTCACGCAGGCTTAAGGGCAGCTCAGACTGCCGCTGAAGCTACAGAATCCGTAAGTCCGTATTTAAAAATATGCACTCGCACAGTGCAGCACACTCCTGGCTCTCGCGGGCACTCAAAGGCACTCGCGGCCACTGAATGTCACTAGCGGGCACTCAGAGGCACTCGCGGGTACTCCTGGCTCTCGCGGGCTCTTAGAGGTACACGCACGCCTTGCTACCTCGCACATCTCTGATGGATTCGCAGCCTAATCGAATCTTGTATGTTACATTACAGGCGAATGCTCCCCGATGAAGGAGGTAGTTTGTAATGTAATGCTCAAAAACTAATCTTTACAGGCGAATGCTCGCCGGTGAGTGAGGTAGTTTGTAATGTAATGCTCGCAAACGAATCTTGAATGTTATGTTACAAGCGAATGTTCTCGGTGAAAGAGCGCCTTTAGAGGAATATTTTCTTCAAATTTAAATGGGACCACTACACTGAGGTACCCTCTGTCCAACAAAAAAAGAATCATCAAAATCGGTTCACGTTATCGCGTAACATACATACAAAAAAAGCATAAGTGGAATTGAGAACCTCCTCCTTATTTTGAAGTCGGTTAAAAAACATAATGATAGATAGATAGATCGATAAATGGTTTATTTATCATAAAACACACACATGCGATATACATAAACAAACAAAATAAATAAAAAACTAATCCAAAAAAAGACAATAGTACAAAAAAAAGTAACACTGCAATAAATACTATATAAGCATTAAAACAAGATATCATTATTTTTAAATTTTAAATAACAAAGAGTACAAACAGAAATATGTAAGGCATTACAATAAAAGCTCGCAACGCATTGCATGTGTGCGCTGTGGTGATAAAACGGCCGTAGCTCAGTGTAATTGCTGCTCAATTAGAGCAACGTATACTGATATTCTGCTACGCCCGAGGAAAGCAGAAAACGGCGAAACCGCTGCGCGGCAGTGAGTGCGTGATGGGGTATTACTTATAAGGGCGGGTTCCCACTATGTCGTGACGACAGATTGTCGTGCAGTTTACAGTGTCGTATCTTGTATATTTAAATGGAGTTGTTCACATATAGCACGACACGATTAACTGTCGTTCACGATTTTTTATCGTTACAACGACAAACTGTCGTCATAGTGGGAACAGCTAGAACGACAGTCATCGGACGATAAAAAAAGTCACGATAAAAACGTAACGACAGATTGTCGCGGCTCTTATTGTCGTCACGTTTTATTTACCGCTGTCCGAAAGTATTCTGCTCTCTGCCCTCCCCTCTCGTACCCCGCGCCCTCTGCTCGCTTTGCAGTAGCGTTGGGTCGTAGCTAGAGATGGGCAAGGAGGCTGTCGTGAAACGATAAATTGTCGTCACGATCTTGTGGGAACAACTAGTCACGACAGTCGTTCAACGATAAAAAATCGTCCACGACAGATAGTCGTGATATGGGAACAAGCTAGACACGACAGTCATTCAACGATAATAAAACGTGACGACATAGTGGGAATGCGCCCTTAGGGTATTCGCCGTTTTCTGCTTTTATATGAAAAGAATTAAATGTTTATAGAATCATATTTAATTTTATGGTTAGTACTGTTGGTTTGTGTCCACATAGTAATAATAACAGAATAATTAGATTGGTGTTAGTGTTAGATTAATAGGAGTTACAAAAATAAATTATTGATGAAAGGTAGCAATACCATAGACTCAAAGTGCTTCGGAATACCAAGTTTTTGTTTGCGTAAAATAACCTCTTTAATGAGTTTCCTAAAGGTAAACTTAGTATGCACAGATCTTATTGGCGGAGGATATTATTCCAGCACTTTGTAGCCTGATGATGATGATGACGGAAACTACCCTCAAAAGTTACCGTGCGGTGTATATAACCTGCCAGAATTGCCCTAGTAGCTCGAGTATGTGCTGAGTTTGCAAATTCTAACTTATTATACAGATACTCAGGGCGTTTAAATTTCATGATGTCAAACATTAGACAAGCAAGGTGAAGCTTTCTTCGACAGTCGACAGACAGACAATCCTGAGCATTGACACATAGTTTAGAATGGTTAATACATGACTTCGTGGAGGGACATTGAAGCAAAATCTGCAGCAAGCATTTTATATTCTATATAAAATATTACATTTTACATTTTATTTCAATAATCGCTGAGTCTTTGCAAGCAGACGAGGCCGATAAACAATGTCGCCATAATTCAATTTAGATAAAACGAGCGACTCACAAACAGCAATACGTGCTTTCTCACTGAGCAAATCACGTATTCCGTATAAAACCTTAAGGCGATGGAAACAACTACGAACAAGGCCCAACATGTGACTCTCGAAGCGCAAAGAATTGTCTATAGTTATTCCAAGACTCTTAGGGTCGTATTCTAGAACTCTACATTGAGTAGAGTCAGGATTTGAGTATGGATGAAAGCACTCGAAATCATACTCGATTCCCTGCCATTAGGGTCGTAATTCCAGTGCTTGTGTTTCCAGTGCAATCCTGACTTGAGCATTGAATAGAGTTCTAGAATACGACTCTTTGCTTCCTCCACGCGGTTAATAACCTGTCCTGAGATAACACATTCGGAGCTAACATCCTGAACTGTTCAACATTCATACATTATTTATGTAATATAAATCCATTGGTATATTTTATTCTTATTTATTGTGAAGGTGGTGCTTCGGTGGTGGACGCCGCGCGGTGCGGAGGGTGGTGCAGGGGGCTGTAACGGGCCACTGTGGCGCGTCACGCCCGCCGACGTCGCATCTCGGCCGTCCGCCTGTCTCGTCAACTTCCTACTCAATGGAAGATCAGTCACCCTTGAAATTCCTAGGTTAGTTAGTATTTCATAGCCACAGCCACATACTAACATATGCACACGGACGCACTCTATCAGAGCACCCATTGGCTTGGTCGAGTTGGCGATTCACAGTAAATTTGCAATGTAACTACTATACAAATCAGTATTAGTAAATATAGTACACTTTGACATCATCAGCATGACCGAAAAAGAAGAACTTGCCAAGCTTGCCGTACTTAAATCTTCAAACGCCTGTGATTATACAGATTGCCTGTGAAATTGACGATGAGCTGGAACAGGGATATTCAGAGGGCCGCACTATATTATATTTGGTTTTTTACATTTTTTTCAATATACTGTTTATTTCAAGCTGTTCGATTGCAGATTATAATTACGACGTATTACAATTTAACGACCTCCTTGCTCGAGTAGCTTGCCCACCGGTTTTCATGGTGTCACCATCTCTCAGGTCTCGAGTTCGATGCCCGGCCGAGTCAATGTAGAGAACCAACTTTTCTACATTGTCTCGGGTCTGAGTGTTTGTGTTACCGTCGTTGTTTCCGATTTCCATTTCACAAGTTCTTTAGTTACTTTACTTTTACTTTAGTTTTGGATCAGAGCAACGAATGCGATATTGTTTAATATATAATAATAATAATAATGCACCCAAAAATAATGAAAAGAAATTTAATTTATTTTCTCATATAATTTTTAGTGAAGAATATAATTTAATATTCAGCACGTTAAAAACCAGATTTATTTAAAAAAATAAAATTAAGAAGAAAGCAAAAACAATTAATTTTATTATATATAGATGCTTCTACGGGAGAAATGTTAAAATCATAATGTATGTAAAAATCTTTAATTAAAGAAAATGTCTTTGGGAATGTTTCCATAAATCGAAGGATTTTTTTGGAAGACACGGCCCCTTTACATCCCTTTTCCAGCTTGTCATAGATTTTATAGGCACCCTATATACGAGGTCACTAATATACAAGACGTCACATGAGTCATATAAATATATCACTTTGGCAATAACCATGTCTTTCAGAAATGGACGGAATGCGGAACGGAGGCATTCATCTGACGAATACGTCAGGTGTATTGTAACAGTGTTATGTTGTTTAGCGCATTTTGTTTTTTACAACTCACAATGGACTTTGTTTTAATTTTAACGAATATGAATTATGATAAATGGTTTAACGGGCTGGTGTCCGCAACTCGATGTCCAGGCGCCTATTTTGCGTATGGGGCGTGTGGTATGAATGATTTACTTTAGTACATTGATTCTTTTTTTTTAAATGTTATTTTAAAGGTACACAAATAATCTAATCATCACTAGTGTTGTAACTTGAAAAAAAAAACATTTTTTTTTCACATTTTTGAAAAAAACACAGCGCCCTAGTTTTTTTTCTAAATTTGTTTTTTTTTTTTCAGAAAAAGTAAAATGGAATAACTGAAATAAAATAAGACACTAACTTTTGTTTTAAGAATATTTATATGTATTCACATATAACATATATATATACAATATA